TCAGTGGATTTCATTTTGGGGGTTTTGATCGACACTGCGAGGGCCATGCAGTTCCTGCATTCGCCCCGCGCTGCTAAACCCCACTTGCTGCACAGAGACCTCAAACCCGCAAACATCCTCATCAAGGTCAAACCCTAAACCCTAAACCCTAAACCCTAAACCCTAAACCCTAAGCGCTAGCGAGGGCCTGGGGCGCTCTGAACTCTCTAGCAGTCACACTCGCGTTGCTAAACCCCACTTGCTGCACAGAGACCTCAAACCCGCAAACATCCTCATCAAGGTCCAAACCCTAAACCCTAAACCCTAAACCCTAAACCCTAGATGCGTGGCTCGCGAGCGCGCCGGAGCCTTCAGCGAAGGCAAAGCCAATGCCTTGCCTACTGCAAGCAGAAAAAGGAGCCCTCTGGGGTCAAGCCGCGGCAGCGCAAGGGTTTAGGGTTTAGGGTTTAGGGTTTAGGGTTTAGGGTTTGGCGCTGCAGGATGGAAGAGCCCTGGTGACGGACTTTGGGGTCGCGCGAGTGGCAGAGCACCGCTACTTTGAACACGAAATGACTCAGGGGCCAGGCACAGAGGTAAACCCTAAACCCTAAACCCTAAACCCCAAACCCTAAACCCTAATTATAGTGCCTGCGGTGTGCGGCTCCCTTGCTCGGCGCGTCTCTGAGCCGGTCTTTTGAGCTGCTGTTTTTAGTGCACTTGGGGTTTAGGGTTTAGGGTTTGGCAAACCCTAGACCCTAAACCCTAAACCCTGGAAGTCCCGTTGCTGCCTTTTGCTGCTGCACTGCTGTTCGGCCCCGCGCGCCGCCGCCGGGCCTCTGGGCACCCGCACAGCAGCAGCAGCAGCAGCAGACCTCAGAAAGACACCACCACTGCCGCTGCTGCCGCTGCTGCTGCTGCTGCTGCTGCTGCTGCTGCTGCTGCTGCTGCTGCTGCAGGGCTACATTGCCCCCGAGCAGCGCACCGCCGCCTACGACCGCCCCGCGGATGTTTGGGCCTTCGGAGTTATTGCTGCTCGGCTGCTAGGGTTTAGGGACTGGAAGGCTTTGTCGGAGCCCAAGTACAAGACCAGTCTGCATCTTTTCAAACACCAAGTACAAACCCTAGCCCTAAACCCTAAACCCTAAACCCTTGGGCTCGACGGCCCACGCAGAGCCCCGCGAAAACCACCCGCTCACGACGCCTCAGCGTGGAATAAGCCCAGAAACCGAATTTAGGGTTTAGGGTTTAGGGTTTAGGGTTTGGGGTTTAGTGCTGCGGGTTTGTCTGCAGGACCCCTTCTTAGTGAACTTGACGCTCGCGTGCTTGGAAACAGACCCGCGCATGCGGCCCACCTTTGAACAAATCGTCAAGTAAGCGCCAAACTCTTAGTCCCAAACCCTAAACCCTAATTTAGGGTTTGCGAGCTGCTGCATGGCGTCGTTGAGCCACGGGGCCGAGGTTTCTGTACACCTCAGTCGCTGCAGTTGGTGTGTTTGTTCATTTCGCGATTTCGCTTTCTACCAGAATAGATATTGCGTTTGGCTTCCAAATTCATTTCTGCTGCTGCTGCTGCTGCTGCTGCTGCTGCTGCTGCTGCTGCTGCTGCTGCTGCTGAAGCCGCATTGTGGACGAGCTGTTTCGGGTCGAGTTCGAGAGGATTCTGAGGACTGCCTACAGAGACGTGCTGCCGCTGCAGCAGCGGGACTTGTGCTGCTGCCCCTTCCAGCAGCAAGTGCTGCAGATAGAGCAGCAGCAGCAGCAGCAGCAGCAGCAGCAGCAGCAGCAGCAGGGCTCTGGGGCCCCCGAAGACGCCCTGGTCTCCCCAGGCATTCTTGCCCCCCCCATGTGGAGCTACAGGGGGGCCCCCCAGGGGCCCCCCTTCGGGTCAGGGGCCCCCCTAGCTCTGTCTTTAAGTGCATGCAGCTCTCCGCGGAATGCTGCAGCAGGGGCCCCCTCAGACTACCTCGAGGGGCCCCCCTTGTTGGACTCTCCGGGGGGCCTTGGGGATCCGCTCCCAGCAGCAGCAGCAGCAGCAGCAGCAGCAGGAGCTGCAGCAGCAGGGGCGCAGCAGGCGCAAGACAAGCCTGCTGCTGCGCCTGCTGCTGCTGCTGCAGCTGCTGCTGCTGCTGCTGCTGGTTTCCCACTGTCAGCAGCAGATGGGGGGCCCACAGCGGGGCCCCCCGTCCGCACAGGGGGGGGCCCCCGGAAGTCGGGGCCTCCCTGCAGCTCGGCAGCAGCAGCAGGAGCTGCTGCTGCTGCTGCTGCTGCTGCTGCTGTTGCCTCTCGCTCCTCCCCACGGAGAAGCATAGGGGGCCCCCGCCTCCTGGGGCCCCGTGCTGCTGCTGCTGCTCTTGAGGGGCCCCCGGGGTTCACAAGAGGTGACCCTGATGGCAGCAGCAGCAGCAACGACCTTCCCAAAAAGGGGCCCCAGGGGGCCCCCCACGGGGGCCCCCAGGGGGGCCCCCAGGGGGCCCCCCTGGGGTCCCCGTCCCTCAGGGGGCGCAACGGAACCCGCCGAATGAAGCCGCAGCCGACCCCCAACAGCAGCAGCAGCAGCAGCAGCAGCAGCAGCAGCAGCTACAGAGCTGAGAGCAGCAGCGGCAGCTCTCACAGCGAAACTGGCAAAAGAAGCAAAAGACACAGAAGAAGTCCCCAAACCCGAAGGGGGCCCCCCATTAGTCCCCGAAAGGGCCTCGAAAGAGGTACTAAAGGAGGGGGGGGCCCCCACAGGTCAGCGGGGGGCCCCAGGACCCCCAGCAGCAGACACCGGAGTGTACAGACACCTGCTGCTGCCGCTGCAGCAGCAGCGCGCTGCATAGAAAGGGGGGCCTCCACATAATCGAATTTGAGACCCCTTTTGGGGGCCCCTTGGAGGCCCCTCGGGGGCCCCTTGGGGGCCCCTTGGGGGCCCCTTGGGGGCTCTTTGGGTTTTCTTGAGGGGCCCCCCGGGGCATTTTTGGGGTTATCTGGGCCCTATGGCGTTGTCAGTGTGCAGAGACGCCGGGGGGCCCCCAAACCCTTGTGGGGGCCCCCCCGGTGCTTCAGGGGGCCCCCTGAGTACTTCTGGGGGGCCCCTGGGAATTTATGGAGTCCCTCTGGGGATTTCTGGGGGCCCCCTGGGGACTTACTTAGGCCCCCGGTGGACTTGGAGGGCCCCCTGGGGAATTTTTGGGGCCCTTTGGGGACTTTGGGGGCCCCTGGGTACTTTGGGGGGCCCCTTCGGGGCTTTTGGGGGCCCCTTAAGGACTTTTGGGGGCCCCTTGGGACCCCTTTTGTTTGCATGTTTTGTTTGAATGAATTTGGGCGGAGGGGATTTAGAGGCGAACAGTAGAAAGGGAGCTGCGGGACAAAGAGAAAAAGGAAAACATCAATGGGAAATATATATATATATAGTATATATATAGTATATGTATTATATATATATATAGAAGTATATAGAGAGTATATATATATATATATAGATATATATATATATATATATAGAAACGTACATATATATATTATATATCATGGGTAAGCATACAGAAGTGCAGAAAGCGCACAAGTGCTTGGGTGTGTCTCAGGTGTACGTACACCTCGCGGCGTCGTGCGCTGCTGGTTTTTTTTTCTTTTTTGGACTTTTGTTTCCCTCGCGTTTGCTTTTGAATTGTATTTGCATTACTTTTGCATTATATTTATATTTTATTGTTTTTTATTTGCGTTTTTGGCGGAAAAACGGAGTTTTTCTGCGTGTGGAATGCATGCATTTGGGCAGCGAGTTCGGGTGTATGTACACCCGCACATTATGGTAGGCACCCTTCTGCAGAATGCATGCAAATGTTGTGCATGCATTTGAGTTCCATTTGTCCCATTTATTATTTTCATTTGTTATATTTATTATATTTATTTGCCATTTATTTGGCCAAAAGTCAAACAAAAACATCCCCTCCAGCACTTGCATGCGCCTGCGCAGCGCAGGTGTATGTACACCGCATCCAGGTGTACATACCTCCCAAAGTTTCTGAAAAAGCGAATTCTTGGACAATTCTAATTCAGAATAATACAATATAATGTGATATAATAGACTACAATATAATATATCATATTATTTATTCATAAATAACAAATATATATGCATCAATATATATATATATTTATTTACTCTACATATCTTTCTTAAGACAGCAATTCCAGAGCATTGAGTGTGAAGTGCAAAAGACATTAAATATTAAATTTAATTTCATTTGAATACAAATTTAATTTCATTTTAAAATAAATTTAATTTCATTTGAATTCAAATTTAACTTCATTCGAATTTAAATTTAATTTCATTTTGAATTTAAATTAAATTCCATCAAAACGCAATAAAAGGCTTTTTGCAAAAAGCCAAAAAGTCCATTTCCCCTATTTTGCTCTTCGGCAAATAAATGCCATTTTCTCATTTTCCGAAAACACTAAAGTCCCTTTTAAAAATAATAAAATAAAAAAGAAAATATCTTTTCTTAAAACACAACTGCAGCAGCACAAAAGGCATAAAGCAGCAAAAAGTGACCAACTAAGGGACTAAACGAAACAAAAGAAACAAAAAGGGGGCCCCACAGTCTCAGCCAGGCCCTCCGGGATATCAAACATTAACTGGGGGGCCCCTTGGGGCCCCCTGGGGCCCCTTGGGGCCCCCCGGGGCCCCAGGGGGCCCCAGGGGCATCCTGGGCATTTCTAGGGACTCAAAGAGGCCTTCTGTGGCCCCGGGGGGCCCCCTGGAGCCCACTGGGGCCCCCGGGGGGCCCCCTGGACACCATCTGAGCATATTTGGGAACTAAGGGGGGCCCCTGGGGCTCGGGGGGGCCCCTGGGGACCCCAGGGGGCCCCCAGGGCAAAGTTAGATACTCAGGGGGGCCCCTGGGGCCCCCGGGGGCCCCCCATTTGTAGTTGCTGCTGGAGTTTGTGGGTCTGTGCCCTTTTGCGGTGTTTGCACTTTGCTGCTGCTGTGGGCCCCTCCGCAGCAGCTAGGGGGGCCCCCAGGGGCCCCCCGGGGGGCCCCTTTGTTTATAAAATGGTTTTAAATGTATTTTATTTTTAAAAAAAAGAAAAAAGCCCCAAAAGGAGACAAACGCAGAGGGGGGCCCCCCAGGCCCAGCTAGCCACCCGGGGGGCCCCCCAAGAGCTGCCAGGGTTTGTTGCTGTCTTTGAGGCCCTGAGACTCCCTGAAAATCCGAGACTTTGACGAAACATATTAGGGTTTAGGGTTTAGGGTTTAGGGTTTAGGGTTTAGGGTTTAGGCTTCGCCGTCTCCTGCGAGGGCCCCTTAACTCAAGGGCCCCTGCCTGCCTCGGGGGGCCCCCAAGCCCCAACTAAAGCATTTCTTGAGGCCCCTCGGGTCCCTAGGGGGCCCCAGGGGCCCCTCTATTCCCTTTGGGGGCCCCCCTGCAGCACCATGGGGGGCCCCCCGCGGCCACCCCAGGGGCCCCCGGGCCCCGGGGGTCTTGAGGGGCCCCAGGGGCCCCCATCCGGGGGGCCCCCAGAGGGGGGGCCCCCCGCCCCTGCTGCTGCTGAGGGAAGCCCTGTGGGGCCCCACGGGGGTCCCCCTCAGGGGGCCCCTGAGGGGGGCCCCCTGCAGCAGCAAAAGGGTTCAGCCGAACCGCCCCGGGGGCCCCCAGATGGGGCCCCTTTGGAGGTACAAAGGCTTTTAAATGGGGCCCCTCAAGTGCTACGAGGGGCCCCCAAAGGGGCCCCCCAAAATGGGGCCCCGCAGGAAGCTCAGGGGGCCCCAGAGGAGCTCCAGGGGCCCCCTGAGCTGGTTTTGGGGGCCCCTAGGGGGCCCCCCAGTACCCCTTTTGGGGGGCCTCCTAAAAGGCCCCGCAGAGAGCCTCTTGAGGGGCCCCCAAAGGGTCTAAAAGAGACAACGCCTGCTGTGCCCTCTCAAGGGGGGCCCCCTGGGCCTGCAGGGGGGCCCCCTGGGCCTGCAGGGGGGCCCCCTGGGGCTGCAGGGGGGCCCCCTGTGGCTGAGGGGGGGCCCCCTAGTGGCACAGAGGGGCCCCTTGAGGGTACAGAGGGGGCCCCCGGGGGCGCGGAGGGGCCCCCTGAGGATACTGAGGGGGCCCCGGGGGACGTCGAGGGGCCCCCTGAGGGTACAGAAGGGGCCCCCAACAGTGAAGGGGGCCCCCCTTCTTCAGGGTTTTGTTTGGCTCCAAGCCAGCTGGCAGGGGCCTTGGCATTTTTAGAATTGGGAGATTATCTCAGATGTCTTCTTGTTTCCAAGTTAGTCGAACTCCACTTCTGGACTAGGGTTTAGGGTTTAGGGTTTAGGGTTTAGGGTTTAGGGCCAATGGTTAGGGTTTGGGGTTTAGGGTTTAGGGTTTGGGGTTTTTGCCTCTGCAGGGTCTTCTATGAAGCAGCTTGCATAGCGCTGGCCGGCGTCACTTCTATTGGGGACTCAGGCGAGTGCAAACCCTAAACCCTAAACCCTAAACCCTAAACCCTAGGAAGGCTCAAACCCTAGACCAAAATCACTGAGGGTTTGGGGCTGCATGCGTGTTCCATTTCAGCTCGAGTTATTCCGACGGATGAGCAGCTCGAGGTCCTTATTAAGCGTTGGCAAGTCCAAACCCTAAACCCTAAACCCTAAACCCTAAGCTCTAAACCCTAAACCCTAAACCCTTGACTGCACACTTCGCAGAGCATTTCCCTGTGGAGCAATTCAGGCTGATTGCTGCGCTCAGTAAAGGCGCTTGGAACTCGTAGCCCAGGAGCTAGGGTCTAGCGATCAGGGTTTAGGGTTTAGGGTTTAGGGTTTAGGGTTTGGTGCAGCAAAAGCCTCAAGTCACTGGAGCTCGACGGATTCCTCTTAACCCCCAGGGGCCTCCAAGCCCTCAAGGGGGCCCCCTTGGAGGCCCTTGCTTTGGCGGGAATAGAAGCTAAGGATGACGCATTTCTTGAAGGTCCTAAACCCTAAACCCTAAACCCTAAACCCTAGGCCTCAAACCCTTAGGCGTGGGCGCTGAAGGCAGGGACTGCCGAGGCGCAGTGCGGGAAGCCCCGCGGAGTGCCACAACTTGCTGCTTCGAGCCCTAAACCCCAAACCCTAAACCCTAAACCCTAAACCCTAAACCCTAGTTGTGTGTTTTTGCAGCACTGCGAGACAGTTGTGAGGGTTTGAAGTCCTTTGGGTTCATTTGCTACGGTGGAGAGAAGTTTACAGAGGGGTTTGCCCAAACCCTAAACCCTAAACCCTAAACCCTAAACCCTAAATTTCGCCGTCTGCGGCTTTGTCTTTGCTGCCACCTCTGGCATTTCTTCCGCGCCGCTGCGGCTGCCTTTGGGGCGCAGCAAGGGTTTAGGGTTTAGGGTTTAGGGTTTAGGGTTTGGGGTTTGCAGGGCCCTCAAGGGTTTGGGGCGGTCTTTAAAGAACTTGAAAAGTGTCCAAGTGGAGGCCCGGAGGCCCCAAGTGGCTGATGTCCTTGCTGAAGCTGTTGCTGCTGCTGCACCAACTACCCTCACCAGGTGCTGCTGCTGCTGCTGCTGCTGCTGCTGCTGCTGCTGCTTGGAGTTGCGGCTGCTGTTGCTGCTGCTCTCATGCTGCTGCTGCTGCTGTAGCTGCAGCGGTGGCTGCTGCTGCCTTTACGAGCTGCGGCTGCTGCTGCCTCTTGAACTGCTGCTGCTGTCGCTTGGAGCTGCTGCTGCTGCTGCTGCTGCTGCTGCTGCCTTTGGAGCTGCAGCTACTGCTGCTGCTGCTGCTGCTGGCAGTATTTGTGAACAAACACTGCTTAAAGGCTCTGGGTGCTTTCTGAATGAGGGGCATATTGTTCAGAGTTAAGCGCTGGCGGTCTAGGGTTTAGGGTTTAGGGTTTAGGGTTTAGGGTTTAGGGTTTAGGGTTTGCGATCAGCTTGACTGTGGGTGGCGTCACTGAGGGCTGTTTGCTCCGCCTTGCCCAGCAAGTGGGGTCGAAGCTTCACACTTTCTGCTACACGCGGTAAACCCTAATCCGTAAACCCCAAACCCTAAACCCTAAACCCTAAACCCTAAACCCTAGTCCTGTGCAGAGTCGAGCTGCAAAGCCTTGAAGCGTCCGCAGCCCCCCCTTTGCGAGGCCCGGCGCTCCCACGGGCAAGCCCGCAGAACAAAATATCTAGGGTTTAGGGTTTAGGGTTTAGGGTTTAGGGTTTGTGTTGCAGGCTGAACTTGGGGGGGGCCCCCGTAAACGACTCGCTGCTGTACCTTTGTGCCATGAGGATGGGGGCCCTCACAACCCTCAGATTGGCAGATGGTTTAACCCCAAAGGACCTTCAGGGGGCCCCCGGGGGCCCCCATTCGTACCTCGTAAGCCAAACCCTAAACCCTAAACCCTAAACCCTCGCGCGAGCCCGAGGCCCGGCGGCGGCTGCAAAACCGAAATTAGGGTTTAGGGTTTGCGACCCTCGAGGCTTTCTGCCTTTCTGCAGCAACCCCTCGTCACAGCCCATGGCCTCGCCCGCCTGCGGCCACTCCTCGGTAGCCCCAAACCCTAAACCCTAAACCCTAAACCCTAAACCCTAAACCCTCGCGGCTGCTGGGGCGGATTGCTGTTAGCTGCTGCCTGGCAGGGTAGTTTGCGTGCCTCGTAAATCCTTGGAGGTTTAGGCTTCAGGGTTTAGGGCTGCGAAGGCCTGCCGGCTGGGGGGTTCGGCCCTAGGGTTTAGGGTTTAGGGTTTAGGGTTTAGGGTTTGTCAGGGCAGCTGGAGGCGCTAACCCTAAGCCGCAGCTGCGGCCTCCCCTTCGCCGTACTTTCCGACATTGACTTTATGGCCCTCGCGAGGTCCCTGTCTTCCAAGCTGCAGGAGCTGGAGCTCAACGGGTTAGGGTTTAGGGTTTAGGGTTTAGGGTTTAGGGTTTAGGGTTTAGGGTTTAGGGTTTTGGAGGGAGGGTTTGGGCTCGACGGAGTCGTTCGGGCCGTGGAAAGCGGGGCTTTCGACTCTTTGCTGCCCCAGACCTGCATGAGGGCCTGCGGCCCAGGGTTTAGGGTTTAGGGTTTAGGGCTTAGGGTTTAGGGTTTAGGGTTTAGGGTTTAGGGTTTAGGGTTTGCGGGGCAGGCTGCACGGCATCTCGGACGCGTTTCTCCACGAGGCCCTCGACGCCTGCGGGTCGGGGGGCCCCCAAGAGGGCCCCTGTGGCCCCCAGGAGGCCCCTGGGGGCCCCCGGGGGCCCCCCGGGGGCCCCCTGGGGGCCCCCAGAAAAAGGTCTTGGGGGGCCCCCCGCTCCTCTTCTGAGGAGTTTCACAGTTGGCATTTAAGAAAGGTTTCTTTGGAGGCCTCGGACATTTCGGATGTGGGGCTCCAAACCCTCGCCACTGCCCTGGTAAACCCTAAACCCTAAACCCTAAACCCTAAACCCTAAACCCTAAACCGTTGGTAGCGCAGCGAGCAAAGCAAACGAAACGCAAGGTGCTGTGGCTTTATGCTGCTTCGGCTTTTGGAGCTCGGGTCTTCTCCCACATGTGGGTCTAGGGTTTAGGGTTTAGGGTTTAGGGTTTAGGGTTTAGGGTTTAGGGCTTAGGGTTTGGGGTTTAGGGCTTGGGGCTTGTTTGTGTTGTGTAGGGCCCCAACCTGTTAAGCTTATGCCTAAAAGGCTGCCACTCTATAAGCGAGGCTGGGTTGGCTGCTGTTGCCGCTTGCTGCCCCGTAAACCCTAAACCCTAAACCCTAAACCCTAAACCCTAGACCCTGCAGTTTACAGAAGGTTTTGCTGTTCCCCTAATCCGTGGCTTCTAAACGCCCTCGCAGTGCTTGTTGAAAATAAGAGGGCTTGCGCGTCCAGGCGAGGCCGCAGTCTTTCTGCGAGGGTTTAGGGTTTAGGGTTTAGGGTTTAGGGTTTAGGGTTTAGGGTTTAGGGTTTTTGGCGCAGAACTTGACGGGCCTCAACTTGGGAGCCTGCTGGGGAGTCAACGACATGAGTGTTGGAGAAGTCCTCAAGGGTTGCACCAAACTCAAGACTGTAGTGCTCAATGACGCAAAGTAATCAGGGTTTAGGGTTTAGGGTTTAGGGTTTAGGGTTTAGGGTTTAGGGTTTAGGGTTTAGGCTTAGGTTAGGGCCGAGGGTTTGAAGTTGAGGGCTTAAAGCCTTGGGCTTAAGCTTCAGTGTTTAGGGTTTAAGGTTTAGGGTTCAAGGGTTAGCTTCCAGGGTTTAGGGTTTAGGGTTTAGGGTTTAGGGTTTAGGGTTTGGGCACTGCAATTTCATCTTGATGGCCCTAACGGGCCTGGGGCTCTTGAAGTTGCATTATATTATAAACTTGTGTTTAGGGTTTAGGGTTTAGGGTTTAGGGTCTAGGGTTTAGGTTGTGTTTTTTTTATATTTATATTCAAATAAATTCCTTTTTCCTTTTTTTTTCTTTTTTGCTTTTTTTGAATTAATGCATGCGGGTCATAAAACATACACAAGTGCATGCAGTGTACAAATGCAATAAGCTGCACTCAACTCTATACGTCCTCCCGCTGCTGTTGCTGCTGCTGCTGCTGCTGCTGCTGCTGCTGCTGCTGCTGCTGCTGTTACTCTCCTGCTGCTGCTGTGCTGCTGCTGCTGCTGCTACCACTTCTACCACTGCTACAACGCCCAACGCTGCCGCTCCTGCTGCTCCTCTGCTGCCGCTGCTGCTGCTGCCGCTGCCGTTGCTGCTGCTGCTGCTGCTGCTGCTGCTGCTGCTGCTGCTGCTTAGGATAAGCGACGCCTCTTTGCTGGCGCTCAGCAGCAGCGTGGGCCTTTCGCTGCAGGAGTTGGCGCTGCACCGCAACGACAAACTCACTGATTTAGGGTTAAGGGTTTTGGCAGCAGCTTGTCCTTTTTTGCGGAGGCTTTCGCTCTCCAAGTGTTCCCAACTCGCGGACCCCGGCATCGCCGCGGTAGGGTTTAGGGTTTAGGGTTTAGGGTTTAGGGTTTAGGGTTTGGGGGTTTGCGCACGCGCTGCGCGGGCGGGCGCCGGGCTTGGCGTGCAGGTCTGGGGTTTAGGGTTCGAGGTTTACGCGCGGAGGCCTGGGCTCAAGGTCAGGGTTTAGGGTTTAGGGTTTAGGGTTTAGGGTTTAGGGTTTAGGGTTTAGGGTTTAGGGCGGGGCTGGCTGGAGAGTGACTGTGCTGCGCGCGCAGGTGGCCCAGGGGTGCAGACGGCTGCGGAGCCTTCGCCTAGACGGCACGCGGACGGTAAGCCGTAAACCCCAAACCCTAAACCCTAAACCCTAAACCCTAAACCCTAAACCCCCGGTGTGACCCCTCGCCTGAAAGCCCGCGAGGAGCTGTGTGCTGCTGCGCAGTCGGACGCGGGGGTTTTGGCAGTTGCAGCAAATTTAAATCGATTACAGTTTTTTCATTTGAGTCGCTGCATGCAAATCACTGGGGCTTGTTTGCTGCCTTTTTCCGCTGCTTCCCACCCCGCCCTCAAGTGCATCACTCTCCCCCAAGCCCACGTCACGCAGCAGCAGGCCGACCGCTTCAGGCAAACCCTAAACCCTAAACCCTAAACCCTAAACCCTAGCCGCTAAGCCCTAGGCGGCGCGGCCTGCAGAAGGCAGCCCCGCAGCCTCTAGATCTCGCGGGCGCTTGAGCTGCACTAAGCCCGGAGGAGCAGACTGCTTGGAGTTTAGGGTTGCTAGGGTTTAGGGTTTGCTAGGGTTTAGGGTTTGCTAGGGTTTAGGGTTTGCTAGGGTTTAAGGGTTTGCTGAAGGTGAGGGCTGCTGCGGCCTTTGCGGACTCAGAGAGCAAAACCCCAACACTCTTCTCAAACTCGAAGATATCTGAGGGGCCCCCAAACCCCAACAAAATCCCTCACAGCGCCATGGGGGCCCCCAAAGGAGGCTCCTGGGGCCCCCACAGGAGGCCCTAGGGGCCCCCTGAGTCAGCCCTGGGGCCCCTAGGGCCCCTAAAGGAGGCCCCTGGGGCCCCCACAGGAGGCCCTAGGGGCCCCCTGAGAAGGCCCCGCCAGCAGGCCCTGGGGGCTCCCGTGGACATCTCTGGGGCCCCCACAGGAGGCCCTAGGGGCCCCCTGACGCGGCGTTGGGGCCCCCACAGTTCTGGTGTCCCTCAGCGCCGGGAATGAGGCCCTTGAGGGCCCCAAAGAAGCCCCTGAGGGCCCCAAAGAAGGCCCCTGAGGGCCCCTGGGGGGCCCCTTGGGCCCCAAGTGGCTACGTAGCAGCTTACTTGGTGTGTCTATAGTTCCAGTGGGCCCGAGGGGGCCCCTAGACACCTATTTTCCAGATTTATGGTGCATATTTATGGTCCATTTTATGATATTAAGATCTATTTTATGACATTTGTGGCATTTAAGTGCATGCAACTCTTTTGGGGCTTTTCAAGGAATGCCCTCGATGCCACGGTTTGGGTGTCTGTACACCTCAGAACTTGCAAGAGTTTCGACTTGTGCGTCAAGGCTTGTTTTTGGACGAAGACGATTATTTTTTCGCGGATTCTGTCTTAAAACAAGTATAAATGGATTAGATATTATTATTTAAATCATTTAAAGTATTTAATTGCACTTTTTAAACAAATTTCAAACATTTTCGACGGCTAGATGCAGCGTCGCGCCCATTCCCTTGTGGGCTGGACAGCAGCTGCCGGGTCACCTCGCACTTTTGGGGATCTAAATTTACAATTAAAAAAGAAGTTTTAATTTATTTTTAATATTTGATTCACAAATTGAAAAAGTTGAGGATTTAAGCCGCGGCAGTGGAGGACAAACGGCCTTTTCGGGGGCCCCTGGAACACACTGGAGGGCCCCCAGCAGCCGCCCCCGGAGTCTGTCTGCGGCGGAAAGATTTATTTTTTTCGAATAATATTTCATTTTATTTCCTTTTGCTGCAGCAGCAAACAAAAAAAGGGTACTGGGCGCGGCGAGGCCCTCGGGGGGCCCCTTGGAAGTGACCTCGGGGGGCCCCTGGGGGCTGCGGTGTCTAGACAGCTGAAGCGCCGCGGCCTGCAGCTTTTTCGCATTTGTTTTTCCGCATTTTCAAATTTAATGCAACAAAAGTTGCATTAAATGCATTTGCTTTAACAAAAGGGGTTTAGTTGCTGCTGCGCTGCACAAAAACCCCAGATGAGCTCCCACAAGGGCGAGGAACGCAAGGGTCACTCCGGGGGGCCCCCCAAGGGGGCCCCCCCCCCCCCC